ACATGATAAAGTTGACTGTACACAATTCATTATACTCGTTAACTTCGTTTAACTAGAATACCTTCACTTACGCTACATGATAAGTTACCTTACTGGTTTAGTTTTACACAATTCACTATACTCGTTTTACCTTGCAACTTCTGGTCCAAATGCGGCCTCCCGATCCACCACCTGCCTTTTGCTTTTGCAGCAAGGTCCTTGGTGTCCGGTTCTTCCTTTTCTTCTTTTACAAGTAGAGCACATGAAAGAATCTACAGTCGCTGATTTCAAAGTGCTTCAACACGCCTCAGTATGAGTCAATCGTTTCAGTGGTCTAACAGACGGACGCCTGTCTACTGACTTCGCTGAGCGTCTGATGGTGTCGCTTCAGTTCGTTGAGCTTGGACGAGAGCTCCGAGATCTTCTGCTCGCGACTTTGACCCTCCTTAGAGCATTTTGCGCTGCTAGTAGCTAGAAGCTACTAGGTTGGAGGCTATCGCTACTAGCGTGGAGGCCATTACTACTGGTAGCAAGAAGCTACAAGAAACAAGGGGCATTACTACTAGGAACAAGAAGCTACTAGTAGTTCCTGGCATTACTACTATAAGTAGCAAGAGCAAGGGCATTACTACTAGGAACAAGAAGCTACTAGTAGCTCGTGACATTACTACTATATAGTAGCAGGAAGGTACTAGTAGCAAGGTACTTTACATACTAGAAACAAGAAGCTACTAGTAGCAAGGTGCCTTAGTACTAGAAACAAGAAGCTACTAGTAGCTCCTGGCATTACTACAAGGAGCAAGAAGCTACTAGTTACTAGTAACAAGGCGCCTTACTACTACTAGTAACAAAAAGCCTTGGTTTCTCTGACGTGGCACAGAAGAACCTGAGAAGAAAATTTGGAAGAAGGCTAAGTACACCACATCCAGTCCACCCCGCAAAATGCACATACACTCCCGAAAACGAACCATGGACCCTGAGAATGGCACCCCTGAAAGGCTGTTTTCCTCAGGTTTCTTCTAACAGAACCCGTGGTGTTCAGCGTTTGTTGCTAGCTTAACCAGCAGTACTACCAGCAGTGTATAGTAGATCTCTTATATATCCCCGATGTTTGGTAACGCAAGTGCCAGTATCAGACGTTTCATCCAGGGCGATCTATCTACGCCGATCTCAGCCTCTGGCGTTCAGATAGCCGTCCTCTCCCTGCTGCACCCGCCGGCCGACGACCTGGTCGAGGTCCAAAGAGCTCCCGCGGTTCGCGTCGGGCTTCGGTGCGTCGCTCGACGACGGCCGGTTCGGCGGGCGGCGATGCCCAAGGCCGCCGGAGCGTCTGCGGAGCAAATCAGATTAGCTAAGGGTGTCAAGCACCATATTTAGGTCACTCAACAGATGTCACTTAGGATGTCACAAATCCATCTGACATCTGTGGCACCCTCCGTGGTTCTTCGCGGTGGAAGCACCGAAACGGAGCCCAGCCAACACTGGACCGCCTCTTCCGGACCGCACCACCGGTCCGAAGAACGCGAAGAACGCGGGGTGGCGCGGCGCGGCGGTCGCCTGAAGTTCATGAGCTTCTGTCAGGTTTCGATCGATGTCGCTCTGAACCTGGAGCAGCGGAGCGGGCTGCGGCTTGCGACAAGCCGCTGGCCGCAGCGATGTCGCTCTGACCCTTCTTGAGAGAAGGCGGAAATTGGAGGACATGGTCAGGCTTCAACTCCCGATCTGTCGCCGTTTCAAGATCTAGTCCCATGGATTGTTTGGGAGGTTGGATGAAGGCTTTTAGGTGTTTTTTTGATCAGGGTGAGAACCAAATGATGTGGTTCTACCCTGTCCGGTCCACACTGCAGATCACGGTTCTTCCTGGTTCTCCTCATGTCGTTACGCCACTGCTTGCCCTGGCGCCTGGCGCTTTCGATCCTCCAAGCCAGGGATGTTGGCCTTGGACCTGGCACCGCTCGTGGCACCGTGGCGGAAGACCCTCACCGCTCGTGTCGGTCGTTGCGGCGAAGAAGAAGAGAACGGAACCCGACAGCCATATATCGAACATAAGGCATAAGAGGCCACTGGCGCCGGACAGTCTTGACCATGGTTGTGAGCTTCAAGCTGGTTGGCTGAAACGATGTGAAGCGCGCCTCAGGGAGGCTGCCTTGGCTTCTTTATCTCTTCGTTCGGTCCGCAGATCGTGCAATTCGTGATCGTACCTGCAAGCGGGTGTTGAGTTTTTGTCTGGTGGAGTGCTGCATGGTCAGCAAGGTCCTGGAAGATGTTGGTGTTTTGGAGGAAAGAAAGGTGTTTTTATTTCAGCCGCAAACCGTGAAAACAGAACTCGATAGGTTTCAGCTGCGAGCTGCAACCAAATCGACTCTCGTGGCGTCATGCCGCAGATCCATGCGGCGGCGGCGGTTTTATCTTTTTTCGCCTTCTCAATTCATCGTTCACCGTCTTCATCTTTGCAGTAGACGCCTCCCACAGGGCTGTGGACTGCACAGGGCAACCAAAAAGAGTGTTTCAGCACCCTCAATGAGCGTAGAAGAGAGCATGAACACTTAAAAAGGGAAACGTTTCCTTGCTCCTTGCTTTTTCTCGTTTCAGCACTTGTCTTCATGTCTTCCATCTTCAGACCCTCACCGCCGCCGAAGCGAGCGACGATCGGCCTCTGCTTTTTTCGTCTTCTCTTTGGCTTCGGCGTCGGCCGTGGCGAACTGCTCCCTTTGAGCTTTCACCTCCGAAAAGGCTCGAGGCGAAGGACTCGAGGTGTCTTGCAACCGACTCCATCCACATGACTCGGGACACGATCAGCCAGGCAGAAGCCCGAAACGCTCGAAGGTCGAAAAAAAGGACAAGATCCAGCCATCCTCTGGGCTGGGGCTGGGATGTCAAAAATTCTAGCAGGAAGGTTCGAATCAACTTTTAACTCTGTAAATCTCTGTAACTTAACGACTCCAAACAATCTGAAATTCGCCAGCTGAACGTGTCCGCTCTCTGTATTCAAGTCACCTCAGCATAGAGCTGTTCAGCCGCAAGGAGCTTCTCCTGGTGTGACAAGCGAGCTGTGAAAACCGGTGGCGACCCAAAAGTGTGGAGAAAGTCCGGACGAGCTCCATCGACCAATCGACATCCGAAGGACCGAAGGCAGCCGTTGGCCCTGTGTCTGACAGCACCAACGAACTCCGACCCGAAGCCTCTCGTCTTCGGACCATGAGGACGAAGCAGCTCGAAAGGGAGGGACCTCATGGGTTGTTTCCCCCCCCTTCCCAGGCCACCCAAAAAGCCGGGATTCCACCCTTCCACCCTCGCCCGCACGAGGAACGCTGAAGCAGGACGCTCTTAATCAGCGTCCGGAGGCGGCGGTCCTTGTAGATGTGCGGCTCCACTTTGGGCCGGGCCGTTTGCAAGTCTCTCAGCTGCCTCACTGCCCGGCGCAGTCAGGTGGGTTCTGTTTCAGGTGTTAACTTACTACCCAAACGCTGGATCCTGACATGGAGGGGTCTGGGGTCGAACCAATCCCTATAGGTTTTGGGGGACCAAGGGATGCAGGTTTGGAGGATCTGGGTAGTTTTTGCGGTGGGGTCCGTTCTCACACTTTACCACGGGGATTCTGTTGCTGGTTCGGTCATTCTGTTGGTGCCCTTCGTTGAGGGCCATCCGATGGGCGCGCGAAGCTTCGAGTTCCTTCAGAGATGCAACAGGCACCCTGGGCATCCTGGGTGGACCAGCTCAATTGATCTCACACATTTCTCACACATTTCTCACACATCGTGACACCAAGCACACATCAAAGCCAGGATCATGTTTTATCTGGTCTTGACAGGCTGCTTGAAAGCCTCAAAAACTCTCTGCTTTTCTTGGATTTGTCACTTCAACCCGTCCTATACCTATACCGCCTATCCCCACCAACCGCCTCGACCCCTCGACCCGTCGTCGCCTCTCGATGTTCTCGTGGAGCCGCTCGCAGCTCTTCACGTGGTTGGCCAAGGCCTCGCGGCTTTGGCGGCACCGTTTTGGGCGTCCCGTTGGCAGGGTTTCTGCGAAGTGGATTGGGAGATCTGAAGAACACAGCAGGCGAAAAGAAACCAGCTTGTATTAGAAAAGGAAGACAGTTTCGCCCAGTGAGACCCTCTGAAAGAAGGAAGATTGACCAAAAGATGAATGGTTTTGGGGGTCTCCCGATATTTAAATACACCAATTAGGCGCTCAGAACTTCGGCGTTCAGAGTACTCCTGCCGCCAGCACTGCCAGCGCTTTCTCCGGCCTCCCGAGCACCGTGGAAGCGTGAAAAGGCCGACTCGAAGCTTTGGAAGTCCACCAAAGGCAAGTCCTCACCACGCAAGACACCCACTGTCCAGACGCGTAGAAGGCCGCGTTTGACTTATTGGAGCATGGCGAGACTTTGGGGGTGAGTTTCCTCCCCTATTCAGAAAGAAACCATTCTTTGATCCTCCCATCTCCAGGAAAAGGTGGTACTATAAGCATCTTATACTTGTTTGGATCCCTGATCCCCCTCCACTTTGATACTACACACACCCGTCTACATAATATGTGTCTCCCCTGCTTCATATTGGTGGCTAGCGCCTCGGACTCCATTTTTCGTGCCGACTTTCTCGCCCGAAGGATTCGTTCCTTCGGGATGGCTGATTTGGGGGCTGCCCAAAAGCCTTGTGAGTGAGGTCGAAAAGAATCAATACAGTTTCCAAAATAATCATAATTATCATATAACTATACTGAGAACGAGGCCATGGCTAGAGTATGCTATAAGTAGGATGGAGGCCAGTCATTCGTTCTACCGAGAACACAAGCTTTGAGCCGCCCCCGCGATGGGATCGGCTGAACCGCATCGACCCCGGGAACGCATCCGCATCGAGGTCCGCTGGTCGGTGTCCAGGCAGGCTGAAGCGTGCGTGGCGCGACGGTCGGACGTGAGAGGGCCGGTAGAAGGTACGGTATGCATATATATATATAATATATAATATATGTATATAATATATGCATGAATAGGTATTTCATCTGCATAACTTAAACAGCTTCAGCCCTACAACTCTCCTTGGCTGCTTGATGAGAACTACGTAGTTGGAACCCTACCGGGTTCGGATTCATCCCCAGCAGCGCTCAAATGATGTCGGCTTACACGCCAGAAGCTCTCTCTTCACTTCAAGGCACAGGGGTTCGTTGTACTCGATCCGTTCTTTGAAAGTCTTGTCAACGACCAAACCGACCGGACCATGAATCAATGTAACAAAAGCAGCTTGCCCAGTAGGCAGGGGTCTGTACAGCAGTGCCCTGTCTGGACAAAACCAGGCTCAGGTCGCACGCAGCCGTGTAGGAATTCACCCTCTCTGGAAGCCCATGATGGATCGGCCTCACGCACGGACGTCCATCCGCCAGGTCGCGCCCGTCCGGTGCCCATCCGGGAGACGTTGGTGAGACGTCCGGCAGTCTGTGAAGCACCGGAGTGATGCCCGGAACAAACACCCAAAGCACCCGGAACAAACGGACCGGTGGTGCAGCACCATGCAGGAAGAAAGTCGAAGACGGTCCCCAAAGATCCAATATGACATGCTCACAAGCAGAAGCACAAGCACACATACGCACATGTACAGCATGGAGTGCAAATGCCTTTTTGGAGGGGTCGCATGAATCTACATATTGCGTTCAACAAAACGTTTCTACAGGTCACTGTCACTAAGGTCCCTGGTTGTCCTTGATTCTGGGTCTGGACTTTCTTATCCTTCACGGCCGCCGGTGCCACGCAGTGGATGTGCCAAGCAGCTGTTCTGAAAAGCGGGACCTGGACCTCATGGCGCACGGCCGGACCTCATTCTTCCAAGTGAAAGCAAGACTGGCACTTGGAGTGTTCTACAATTCACCCTAACTATAGGGCCCATTACCAGCAACAGTGGATGATGGTTCGTAACACGGCCTTGTTCAGAATTAGTGATAATTGTTTATTGACTGCTACAGGCAAGAACGGACAAACCCTTACAAGCTATATATATATTCTGACATGAGCGCTTTCCGGTGTATGTGTGACGAACGACCGTGTCCCTTCGCGCCCAGGTGCGTTAAAAAGGTGATGGCCCAGTTGTACACCAGGCTGGAGGACACCGTCCTGGCCGTCGGATGCGCCAGCGACTCGGTCCAGCGGAGTGCTGTCGGACAGTGAGTCGTTTGTTCTGCCCGAACGTTCGGTTTGAAACTGAAGCCTAACTCCTAAGTCATGGTGACTGGGCCTATTTCCTTGTGCTTGTGACCTCTTTTTGCCCACGTTTCCCCTCGCCAACTTCGCCTCTGGCTCTCTTCCAAATCAGACCCCGTTGCTTTAAAGCAAACACCGATGCGATGGGGGTGCGCAGCGCGCAGCGCGGTGCGTCCTTTGGTGAAGTAGACCTTCCAGAAATCTCAGCGCCAAAGGCCATTGGGAGCCATTGTCCTGTGAGATGAATTCAGTCAAAACCTCTCACGATGCTTCGATTCGATGAAGGACATGCTTAGAATTGGAAGCATAGATCCCACTATAAAAAAAGAGAGGGGATGAGAGGGGTAAGAACTGGCTGCGCTCCGGCTGCGCTCTCTGCCAATGGAGAAGAAAGAAAAAGCGGTTTGAGGTGATCCAAGGGTGTTCATTCACCGCCCCTGCCAGTGGCGACACTACTCCAGACTCTCCCAGTTGACTCCAGCGGTTGCTCAAACGAATTCGTTCCTGGTAAGAACCGGCGTACCAACGGTGAAAAAGAGAAGTCACCTGTAACATGTGGGATCGAAGTGGCGTTCTCAGAGATTTCCACGGAAGACTTCATGGAACTCCCGCTTCGAAAGGTCACAGTCACATGCACTTTTGGGGAGGTAACCCCCAAAAATATGGCTGGACTGCACCAGCTCCACGCTTTCACGCTTCAACGCCCCCCCCCACAGGGCCCGAACGAAGGCCGTGCAAACGGCATTGCAAACGGACTCGCGGTCAGATGGTTCCCTTAGAACACATCCGGCGCTTGCAAGTTCAGAACATCAACACCTTGCAATGCGAGATCCAAACCGTGCCACACTGTGTAGTGATGTGTAGTGCAGGGTTATGTCTTCAAAAAAGCTTCCCAAAACTGCTGCTCACATCCAAACTTCGAAGACTGCACAAGAAACTATATATATATATATATGAAGCAGATCTGCTATTCTTTGTTTGACACCTCAACCACTCGGCTGCGGGCTCATCAGCGAGCCCCTCCAAGCGCCTTAACACCTGCGCCGTCCGGTGCGGACCGATCGGTCAGGTTTTGGACACTCCATGTACCAAGGACCCCCGGACCAGGGGTGTCTATTGATGGCCCCATAGGGGTTAATTAAGGGGTGTCCATTAACCACCCCGACAGTGGGTCCTATAGATATGGCATATGTATTTACCTATACTATACGGAATTGGTCCTACGATTTTCAGATTCGATCCTGTTCTCCCAAAGAGAAAAACGAACAGGTCACGCACCAAGGGTCACTTCACCACAGTCCAACTCCGCCACGTCCGACGAAGGAAGTCGTCGCGGGCTCTCCGGGCCTCGTGCCAACGGCCACGATACGCCATGACTGAGAGCAGGACCAGGTTGCTCTTCTTTCGCCCACGGGCGGGCAGAAGCGACAAAGCCAGCTCCCAATTCTCATGGACCACCTGGAAGCGAATTCGCATGTGGTGGAATTGGTGTCGAGGTGGTGCGGAAACGAACCTGAAGAACCGCATTTAACAAAATCTGCTGTTCCAAGTCTAAATAAAATTGGCAGTATCCAATTATAATATCATATACCCCTTTCTCTGTCAGTTCTCATCATGATCCATTTGAGTCCATCTTCACTCCTCTCTCCCACCTTGGAGGCCAAGTTCACCTGCGCATCCTCGTCCAGAAGCTCCTCCTTGACCAGGTGCAGCGCCACGCGCCACTGCGGCAAGGCTTCGATCAAATGATCTGCGCTGAAGAGATCGGGCTCCAAGCCCGCTGCCTGGCGAAGACGGCGTCACCAAGGCTCCAAGGCGAAGACGGCGTCACCGGTGACGGAGGTGATCGGAGTGATTCAGTTCCGGTGACTCTTAGTGTGACGGAGGTGATCGGAGAGAGTGGTTTGGTGTGCAAAAATAATCGGTTTGATCGATCTGCGCCTCCACCTCGGGCCACCGAATTCTTCACCAAAAGCTGCCAAACACCTGAAGACGTTCTCCTCCGATTCTGACCCTGTAAAACCCCCGTGGCGTCGCCACCCGTTCCGTTCGGACTCCCAGAAGCCCAGTTCATGCCACGCATTGCCAAGGAAGAAAGGACTACGGCTACCGCATGGGGCCGAATTGGGTGGAGCGAAGGTGGGACCGACCTGGCCTGTAAGTCCCGATCCAAGAGCTGCATCACCAACGGCCACTGGAAAGGCTGGCCCTTCACCTCGGACCCTCCCGAAAAAGCAAAGCCAGCCCAAAAGTCCACCTCATGTTCTTTCTTTCCTCCTTTTTGTTGGTTGGTTTGGGTATGTTTGGGTCGTTCCTTTTCTTGGGGACCACACCCTCTCTCCGCATGAAGGCGAAGCGGTGGTGGAACACCCCCCGTTCACTCGGCGATGTCGTCCTGCCACCGACCTTCTCCACTGGACCCGTTGGACCCGTAAGGACCCTGTTCTTGGACCAAAGCCTCGGCCAAGAAAACATCAGCATCTCTTTGGAGGCGCAAGTGGTTGAAAAATTGGGATTCACCTCCGAACCCTCTTCATCGTCTTCCGGTGGTAACACGAACCCTCTTCGTCAGTCTCTGCCACACGCCACGCCACGTCGCTTGAGGTGTTCGCTCGTTCAGGACTCCTCACCGTACATGTCCGAAGCCTTCGCCACCTCACCAAGGTTCCGCCACCCCCTTACACCACCACCGAGCAGCACAGGTGTCCGCCACCAGGTTCATGGCCACCACGCGATCCGGGTCGCGCCACCGGGGAACACCAGAAGCCCTCCTGGGCAGGAAGCCCAAGACCTGCACGGTCGCGGCGAACGACCTGCGCGATGGCCTCCCAAGAGCGGCCCGGACCAAAGACGAAGGGTGAGGACTATGACTGGCAGACAGGGTGAATTCAGTGGCCGGGGTCTGTGACCCTTTTCACGGAGTTGGGGACATCTGGAGGGAGAAGGTGAAAGCGAACCCACCAGGTGCCGAAATTTTGAGCTTCCATCGTAGCGAACAATCGTGACCCGAACCCCCATGGTGTTCAAAACTGCCCGAAACCAAACATTGGCACATATTGGCACCCATGGCTATCAAAAAGAGAGGCGGTAACCTCCGGAACGCTCCACACCTCTTCCAATCAGCTTCCACGAATCCACCCTGTCACCGCCCCAGCTCGCTCTCCGTCGTCGGCGTGCCTTGCGCCAGAGGCTGGAGACCTTCATCGCCGCGCTGTAGCTGAAGACGTTGGGCGCCAAACCCTCTTGGGCCTCTTGCGCTAAGGACCTCGGACGACGGACGTCGGTTCCGAAAAGGGGGAGGAACAGGGAACGCTACGAACGGAGCCCTACTAGGGCATCGCTACGACTAGGGGGCTCCTGGCCTTACTACGAACGGAACAAGGATGCTACGAACGGAACAATTTGAGGAAAGAGTTTTCAATATCTCAGGATCATCCTGTCTGGGTGGACACCCATAGACTGCCCGGGGCCCTCCGTAAACAGGTCTCCGAAGTGCTATAGGTATCAGAACAAGCAAATTATATATAGAAGATGTTCCATAATATATATTATAGATTAATTAATAGAACTTTCTATGGGAATCATTTATATTGATAGCATAGTTCTCAGAACAATGTTGTTGGTAAGGGTTTGTCTCGTCTCGTGAGCTCCAGGATGGAACCCAACTAAACTCGCCAGCATCGCCATCCGAAACCATCCGAAACTGGGCGATGCTTGTGCCATGCTCAGTATCATATATCATCTTATATCTTCTCTTGGGCTTCTCAGATATCAAAGAACCCACCGAGCCAAGACTGCATAATAGCAAAACGGTCCAACAGAGTCCTTCTCAACGCCAATTTCTTTGGTTCCAGTGTCAACGACCGGATCCCCAAAAAACCCGACACATGTCATTCCAAAGTGAAGACTCCCCGGCGTTTTTGGCTGCTGAAGTCCCCACTCATGGTGAGACCTTCTCTCCGACGCCCAAACCACCGCTACCTCCCACCCCGAATAAGCGCCCGCCGAAGGGGCGCGGTCGCCCGTTGCCATGCAAAGGCAACGTCACGGGAGCAGCTGGTGAGCGCGGTGCCACGGACGATCCTCAGCCGGGTGGAGGGGAGGAGGGCGGCCTGTGCCCGTGAAGGGTGACCAAACATGAAGTCCTGGACGACAGGAGCTTCGTTTCTGGGATCGCTTGAACAAGATCTCTGACTCATCAGCACCATGTGCAAAATGATAAAAGAAGCAGGCCTTGACTGCAGATTTGCCAGCTGTCGTGAGTGATGAGCAAGAACATGTAAATTATTGACAATGACACCTTGTGTTTCCAACTGAGAACCTTAACAGTCCAGAAACCACCGGTTCGGACGCAACTGATGATACTGATGGCTTCTCGCAAGGTCCAGAGGCATTCCACAACCAGTTGCCAGCTGGACGCTTGTGGTAACGTAGGTCGTCTGCGGCACCTTCCATTCCACTAAAGCTAATACTCTGGACTGTCAAGCCAAGCATGACTCCAAAATTCACAAGTCCATGGGCGATTTGGATCAAAAAGCCCAGGAAATCTTCTAGATCAAAAGACTCAAGACGTCTTTTCTCGGTCTCTTCTTCGCTCATCCAAGGTTCTCGTTGCACTGCACTTGAGCTTTCTGGGCCTCGAACAGTACTTGGAACACCTCGGACCAGCTCGGCTCCGTCCGTCGAGCGCCACAGCTTTCGTCGAGCGAAGCGTCGGAGAAAGGACACACAGCGTAGCACGGCATACGAATGCTCCTGTGCGTGTGAGCTCAAATGGGGAGACTGAAACCGACCGCGAAACGTCGGTATACTAAACCCCCGACGTCGGTTTTTGTTGGGAGAAATAGAGTCATGACCAGCAGAAAAGCAGGCCAAAAGTTCTCCCCTATAGTTAGAAAGAATCATTACACACCACATGATCGGATGGGGAGATCCAACATGATCCAACTATCAGAGTGGTTTTCTTCATCGGAAGAAAAGAAAAAAAACACGTGGAGTCCCTCAAGCCGAAGACGAAACCGTCTTCGTCTCACCCCCCTCACCACGGACTCGTCCAGTCCTCGTCCAGTTCTCGGTCTCGCCGCCGCGCCTGGAACCACGCGAGATCGTTCTTCACGGCGCTACTCACCGTGACCACGGTGCTTTCCAAGGCTTCTCTCCGTGCGCCTGGCGAGGCGGAGAGGCCTATGGAACTGAACTTCGGGGGTGGGAGTTCTCTTCACCCATGGGATAACAGGCCATGACCTGCGGCCAGTGCCAGGCATGCCAGGCACGCGTGCCGCGTGCTAGTCCGCCATTCGTCCTTCAATGAATCGTGTTCTCTTGGGTTGCATTTTGGATTGCAAAAGAGAGATCAGTGACACGGACGCGGATCAGTGACGAGGATTGCTGGTGAATCCAGATCCAACTCTGAGGTGCTCCCAGTTGACCTCCAACTGGGCAGAAGTTCGTGGCGAACTGGGCAGAAGTTCGTGGCGAACTGGGCAGAAGTTCGTGGCTTTGGCTCTGTGAACCCAAAAACCTCCAAATTCTGTGCAGTTGGAAGATCCAAAACACAACAAATAGCATACAAAGGCCCATCAAAGTGTTTGCTCCTCGTTTGTGCAGGTCGACCCGAGCTCACCCAGCTTGGGCGTCCCAACCGGTCCACCACCCCACAGGTCGAGCACCTGCCATCAGCTCGAGGGACTCCTCCCAGAGTTGACTACTGCTGCAAGCCGCCATGACCTCACTCGGCGGCTGGGCGAGACGGGTCGATGATGGCACGGTGACGTGGACCCGTCCGTCCGGAAATCACCGCTGGCGTCGTTTTGGCCCGATGGGTGGAGAGTCCTCCCATGTCGGCGCTCTCTTCGCCATGTTCGGGAAAAAGAAACATGGGGAGAAGAAAAGGGAACGGTGCCATGACGCCGCTGCGCTGCGAAGAAAAAACAAGAACAGATCGCGCCTCGTATACCGGAACCCGAAAACGACTGCGACCTTCGCACAGAACACTGCGACCGCTCTGGGCTTTTAACGCCCTCGTTCGACCGACTTCTGCGGCCGAAACCCTCGGCGTGAGGCGGGGTGTGCGCCAAGCATCCCCAAAACTCTTCGGGCCCGTCCAAGCCGCAAAATCCGTCAGGAATGTACATCAACGCGGTTTGGATCACACGGTAATAACACGAACTGGCCCGAAGTGCACTGGCCTGATACTGCCGGCGTCCGCTGACACGAACAGAAGTGAAGCAAAACAACGCACCGATTTAAAGCTTGGTACGATGATGGATGGTAGGTCTGATTTCTTTAGTCTGGTGTCAGGAATGACAAACTCCCAAAAATGCTGCGAGGCTAGCTTGTGCAGCCCAACTTGGCAGCGACAGGACGCACCCGGGCAGTTGAGCCTCATGAAACCCCTCAAGCCTCAAGCCATACGTATTTAGTTTTTAGATATTGGTTTGCCATATTCCCACTCAGAAGAGCTCTCAGCCAGCAGAGCACCTTCCCGGCGGCCGTCTCGCCGTCGTGGTCCCCGACGTTGGCCCTAACTCAGTTGGGTCCAGCGTTGGTTGGAATTCGGGGTGCACCCGAAGAGGTAGATATCGTCGGGGCGGCCAAACTTGCCACCGACGTTCCAATCCAAGCAGAGACCCGAGTCATTCTGCAACTTGATCTGCGTGCTCTTGGTCATCTCAAAGGCCTGAGCACTGTTGCTGGCATCGCATGGGCTCAAATCCACTTCCTTCTTCCTCATCAACTTGAGCGTATCATTCCAAGACAAGAGGTTTTCAAAGGGATACGCGGTCAGGCAGAGAAACTGTCCTCCAGACTCGACGAACATCTGGGCATGATGTTGTGTCTTGCTTCGAAACACGCTTGGAGCTGTGTCGCAATCACCGCCCTTCACATCAAGCTCATTGTAAGTGAGGCAACGGAGTTCAACTCTCCCTGAGTTGAATTTCCACGAGGTCTGCAATCTTCCCAGCTGCAGGATCTGATACCACACCTGGTTGGTCTGACCATTGCACGTGTACATGTACACATTGTCCTTCTCATAGATGCCAGCCACATCCCAGTCCAAACACAGGTTGTCAGTCCCCAGTTTGACGATGCCATTCTCCTGCCACTGGAACTGTTGCGCCGTGGAACCCGAGTCACAAGGATCCAGCACCACATTCTTGTGCAGGACATCCGTCAAGTTATTGGCCGGGGCATCCACTGCTGTCAAACAAAGTCCGTTCAGCATCAGTTGAAGTCGATCCTCTCCTGCTGGGATGCCCCAAAGCTGTGCTGCTGCGCCACCACAATGCATTCCGAAGACGTTCCTGCCCGGGTGAATCGTGTCGTAGGTCAAGCAAGCAAAGTTCCATGTGCTTCCGATCTTCCAAGAGGTCTTCAGCTCCAGCTCTTCTCCAGCAAAGGTCGTGGTCGTTGTGGTCGTTGTGGTCGTCGTGGTCGGGGCAAGCGTCGGTTGATTCACGCACGGAGGCCTCCGAGCGGAATTGCAAGTGGACGGGATGTTGTAGCCGCACATGTGGAACTCTCCATTGAGGCAATAGCCGTATTGAACCTTCCTTGGGTCCGGGATGATCACACGAGAAAAGCACTGATAGTCTGGCTTCACAACAGGTCCTTGGCAAACGGCATCATCCAGTTGGTCAGCGGTGATGTGTCCATAGCTGGCACTTTTTTCTTGCCAAGTTTGGAGCAAACTGTCTTCCTCACAAGCCTCATTGGACGCTCGTGAAATCAGGACGAGATGCACAAGGCAGGCGGTAGCGATTGCCGCTGCAGGAAGCTTCATGGCACCAAGCGAAGGCTGAAGCACTGTTACAAACGTGTCTTTTTCACCATATGGTACCCTACATATGGCGTTGGGTGTCTTCACTTCACTCTCTCATTGTTTCTCACGGCCTGAGCACTTGAAGGCAAAAACATGGAGAAGCAGCTGAACATGGAAAAAAGTTCTTCAATTTGGAAGGAAATGCAATCTGTTCCATCTGAATCCTCCGTCGAAATTCCTGGAGGGTCCTGGATGATCCTTCTGGCTGGTCCACTGTCAAACGGAAAACATGTCTGTGACTCTCACGACCTGTGGCTCTCACGACCTGAGAAACACAATGGATCAAGCGACCTGATTGCAAGAGATGATCCCAGACTCCACGTGCAGCTGCCGCATCTCCTGAACTGACGTCGCCGACGTCCGATATCTAGAGTTGGTTTCTGAGACTTGACATATTCATATACCCGGACCTTCTTTCGGGGTGTCCAATGGAGGTCCCCTAGTAGTGTAGGGGCTTCCAGCCAGGTGACCCCGACATGAAGGTGCTGGTATAGACTTGGAGTCTAAGAAAAGATCTGCTTCGTTCATGTTCGGACTCCAACCGAGTCGTCCGTCGATTCCGCAGTTCCGCGGACGTCGCGGACGTGGCGTCTTCACCGCTCTTCTGTCGACACGTCACGTCTCGGAAATCCTGGTAGAGCTCCAAGGCCTTGAGGCCATTGCCATGCTGGCAGACTTGAAAGGCGCTGCCAAAGGTGAAAACGTTGGGCTCCAAAGAACCTGATAGAAGTCGGAGGGCCCGGGGGGTGTGACTGACTGACGTCGATGTCCGCGATGGGTGTGACTCCCTCCATTTCAACCAATCGCATGTCGTCATGTCGACACCTTCTCTTCACATCTGTTACGTACATCTTTCATTGTTCCAGCTCTGTCCACGATCCACGCCCCGAAAAAACCGACATGAAAGCTTTACAGGTCCACGAGAGTGTCCACGAGTTCTCAGGGTGCCTTGTAACATCTTGGGAATCAGCTCCAGGGAACTCCGCCAGCGCTCAGCCCGGTCACCTCGGGGCAGGGGCAGAGTACGACTCCGTTGGAGCAACTTCAGCAACCACATCCCACAGCAGCACGGGGTGCTGTAAGACTATATAAGTGATCAAGTAAGACTTTGGGTCATTAAGTAAGACTATATATATAGTATATTCTATGGGTCATATAACATATGTTCTATGTTCTAGTGATCAAGTCAGCACCACATGGTCAAAGACCCCGAGTCAGTGTCTTTGAAGCAGCTAAGATGTGGAGGTGATCCCATGGCCCCGCTTTCCAAAGAAAGTTGATACGTCGAAATTCTGTTTCAACCTGTGGATCGAACATTCCACTCCGAATTTCGACGGGTGCACAAATCAGAAGTGTACCTTTTGACCCTGTCTGGGCTTTTGGCTCAAGAAAAAGGTCCGACGGGCTGGACCGACTGATCTCGTAACCACAGGTTATGAGCCCAAGGTGATCGTTTTTTTTGATTTTCCAAGTCCACCTTCCACCGTCGTGAGGACGGGGAAGTGTTGGTCCCCATGGAACAACGAAGACGCCGGCAGCAATGATCTCGAGAGCGGAAAGAGGCAGCGGCTCCACCGGTGGAGATTGGTGTGGCTGACCGCCGATTGAATGCGCTCATCGAGGAGGAGCTGCAGGGCAAGGCCATGAGGGCGCAATCAGTGCCTGTGAGGGCAGCGGAGATGAAGCGGCTGGGAACAGCTGCTGGGGCTGGATCAGGCCAGGGAGGCCCTCCGGCGGTGGCTGCATCGAGTGGTCACCAAGGACAACAGGAAGTTCGACAGCTGTTGAATGACCCAAGAGGCCAGGTGATGGGGCTTGGGCATTTGCAGGAGGCAGTTCGGCAGTCATTTGAAGTGTTGCAACATGCTCTTCAAAGGCCAAGTTCCCAACCTACCCTACTTGATCCTCTTCTTCGGCCCGGTGATCATGGAGGTCATGCTGGTACCGGATGCGGAGTTCTCCCAGGGCACGGGCTGGCGGCTGGTACTCCCTTGCGGCAGAGCGGGGTGGAAATGGAGCGCAGTGGGGCATCACCTTATATGGCTGGAGCAGGACGTGATGATGTACACCCTCGGGTGCTGGAGCCCTATCCTACCACGCCGGTGGGACCTTTGGGGACGGTGAATCCTTTTTGGAGTGCTTCAGTGCAGCAAGCGGCCAAGGGTGAGTCACACGTGCGTGAGTCCGAGGTAACGAGAAGCCAACCTCCTGCGCCGAGTCCGGGCCTGGGACAAGTGGAACGTCTTCGAGAACGCATCTTGAGGGAGGCCGAGGAGACCTTTGCTCGGGAGGTGAAGAAGATGACGGACGCTGGAGATTCAGCATCATTCACGTCGGTGCCGAGTGCGAAGGCGGAAGGACCTCAAGAGCCGATGGGAGAGAATGCCAAGCCCGGCGGAGCACCTGATACTCCTCCTGGTCTTGCTCCAGTACACGATCTTCGAGGTCATGGAAATGGATTGAATGGGGCGGTGAATGGGATGAAGCCGATGGAATCGGTGACAGCGGCCCTACCTGAGGCAATGCGGAATTTGGAATTGCCACAGTTGCCAGCACCTTCGACTGAGAATGCGGCC